GACTCAGTTCTCTAATTTAGAGATAATTGCTCCCTGAGAAGGACTTCTCTGCAGCAGTCACTCACCTCAACTACAGGCTGTTTCTGTGGTTAGCTAACCAAACCTTCCTGTGTGGTACAGCGGGGCTAACCAGAAAATGGAAAGATTTTTGGCAACTCCTCACAAAGACATTCTCCCTCGGATCTGCAGCTTGTTTGAGCAATGCTGCACAGAGCTCCTCACTCAATTTGTCTTTGACGCTCCAGAAAGAATTGCACCTTTGTGATTATCAAAAGAAAGCTGTAAGCAAGAATGCCAGTGTTCCATTGATTCACTGTCACACCGTGACTGCAAGCAAGTGGTTTACCTTGTCTGTGTCTCAGTTTCTCCATCTGCAAACATTATTTGGAAATCTTTTGATGAAAGAGACTACCATCCTGGAAAACTATTTCAATTCACCTAACCTTATCTGAGAAAAACAGCCTAATGCTGTAACTTTTTTTTGTTTGTTTATTTGAATTGGCATTTCCCTCCAATTTAACTGAAAGTCAAGTACCCTCAAAACAGAATGCCAAAGTAAGCACGTTACATCAGAGGTGCTCAAGGTTGCACATCTATTGCATTATAGCTCTCTCGTGCCAGGCAGTGTCCTCGAAGTTGCACACAGACACTGCCTGATTTTCTTGCTCTCCTGTTGCCTGTTTCACACTAGAGGTTTTGTCTTCATACAGCTTCTTCTGTTCCTCAAATGTATACAGTTACAAGACTAGAGCTTTTCCCACTTCAAATTTACCTTTTTTTAGCTGCCTAATTGTTACAACTGACAGCCAGGGCAAAGGCAATCCCCTTTACATTTGTGTAAGGCTTTCTATTGCCAGCTGGCTGACCATACCCAGCAGCTTGAGCAGAACAACTCTCAGCTACGGACCACTGTCACCCTCTGGCCCCAGCCCGGACTCTGTGCATGTTTTCAGAGGCTGTCTCCATAAAGTGACAGTGGAACCATCAACAATAGGGACAAATAAAATAGTCCTTCTCCCAGCTGTGAGGCCAACATCTCCCTGAGCTGCAAGCAGTAGCTACTACATTAAGCTTTGGTTTACTGCCACTTCACAGGTTACCAGTCATTTCTTTAATCAGAACTTTCTCTATCCAAAACAAAAACCACCCAAAAATCACAGCAAAAACTTTTGAGGCCAAACCCAGAACCGAGATACAAAGGTGAGATTAATCAGTATGCAGCTTGCAAGGAGCAGCTTCGGACTTTCTTGGGAACTGATAGAGAGACTGCAGCTGAGAAATTTATCCATACCTCATATGGTTTGCCAGGCCATCTTGAGTGCTAGGAAGACCCAAGTCTGAAAGCGAATCCGAGCAGACAGAAACAGGGGACAGAGACCTCTCTTTCTCCTCTAGCAGGTCAAGTTTCACCAAGGAGCTTGTCTCATCTTCTGAGTTATCCTCTGACACAGAACCAATAATAAAGCGAGAGTGAGGGTTCATCTCCACGGGTTTAGCAGGCTGGGAAGACTCTTCCATGGCTCTTCCAAATTGAGCTCTCAGCACTTGAAGGGACAAAAGAAAGAAGAGAAACAAAACTCAAGGTTAATATCTCCTATTGCAAAACAAATAAGGCAATGCAAGGTTTGCTTCCAATTGGAAATGCAATGGTACAACACCAGAACACAATAGCTGAACCTAGACAGGAGTCCAGGGAATAGTAATTTCTGTTACAATCACTGACTTTTCTGTTTGCACAAGGACTCTGAATTCAAAGCAGCTGCAAAACCTGCTAGTTTTTGCAAAAACTGTAAAACTGCAAAAGGTACTTAAAAGAGGAAAATGTAAGGCATTCTTTCTTACATTTTTTCTAAGCACCCCATGTTACCTAGGATTCTTTCAGGAATCTGAGCTGCCCTACTGAAAACTGGGGAGCAGACAGCACACAGCTCCCAGCCAGCAAAGCAGGACTGCTTTATTCCTAACCTGAAATGCTCAAGTTTATAAAGACTTCAATCTCCTAAGCTCACTCACATCTGAGGACAAGTTGCAGCAGGATGACTTTAGCAGCACTAACAACACAGTACTGTCACAGGGCAGAGGCTCACTCCGTTCATCCTTTCCTCTTCCCTCCTCTGCTCCAGCTACATGCTCACACTGCAACTCCCCAGCAGCTCTGAAGCTTTCCAGACCACTTGAGTCTAACAACTGCCACCAACAGACTAGTATAACTTCCTGTGAGGTTAGCAAGTAGGAAAGAAAGAAAATGAGAGATGGAGAACAAAAGAGTACCTCAGAGCACAGCCCAAAACAGGTGGGATGGTGAATTACTGTCTGACACGTTCAGCTCTGCCCAACTTTGATGCATTTACACACAAATGGATATCAAATAATCAAAAAACCAGAAATGTTTATGCACTAACCTCTTGTTATTCTTGCAATCTGAGCAGTTATCCACTTCCAAAATGAACTGGAAAACAAAAGAATTAACAGGTAAACATTGTTATGAAAAATACTCTGCAAGTGATTAGAAAAACAGTAGAGAAGTGTAGAGAACAGAAAGGCCCACACATCTGGGGCCACTGAGTAAAGCAGGAGCCAAAGCTGTGATGCCCCAAGGAGCACACATGAGATAGGAAGACCCCAGCACCCTGCAGGCAGTTTTGCACTGTTTGTATAGGAAATGACACCCTGTGCCAGTGCTACCAGCTTACGGCTTTTTTTTCCTCTGCTGTCTCTGAACTTCTCAATCTGCTGGTCAAGAGCAAATCCCAATAATAATTAGAACCCTCACGAAAAACCAGGAGGTAGAAAACACAGCTGAGATACCATAAAACCAATAGTTACCTGTAAACAAAGCGTAGTACCGGCGATGCAGCGCTACAGACAAGGAGAAGGCGGGGAGCTGCCGCCCCAGGGCCCAGCCCTTCAAGAGGGACATTACCATGCAGAAAAGATGGGCTTGGTGCCTTCAGCACCTCGCTGCCATCCCGAAGGAAGGAGGGCCGTGTTAGCCCTGCCATGCGATGGGGCAAGCACAGAGATGCACTGTGAGCAGTTTGATGGGAACATGACAGCTTACATCCGGTGCACAGGCAAAACCAGACCACGTTATAGCACTAAACAGGACACAACCTAAGCTCTAATTAGAACACGGGCAAGGAGTTTATAGACACTGCAATCCTTGAGCACCATTTCTTTCCTCCCATCAGTAACTGAAAATTAAAAACAGATCCAACTGGCTTATGCAATTTTACCGTGACCGTACCGACTGAATTATTCAGACCCAACTCTGTGTTGACATCACTCCTCCCACAAACTCCAGTTTCACCCGGGCCAGGGGCAGTTCATTTTACAGGGAGATGTCCTTAACCATTTTATGACTGGAAAGCCACAGGCGCCCACCCGATGCAGGTGTGAGAGGGTGGAAGAACGAAACAACAGGAAGGTGACTGCAAGGTCTGCATGCCTACCTGAGAATGCAGAAACTAAACCATGAGATTCCATTACCAGGCTGCTCAGATGGGGCTCATTCCCACTGCTCAGACAGAAAACCTTGATCACGTTGACTTTGTACACAGCAACATGAAGACAGTGTTATGTGCACACACACTCTTCCATCACACAGTTCCCAAAGAATTTCATTCAGGTGGATTTACTGTTGGCAAAACCAGCACCGGATCTGGGATGCAGCCAAAGTAACACCAACCCTTTCCAATAAAGGAAGGGGTTTTTTAAAGAACTTACGCTTTAATAACTATATTTTTAAGGCTTTACTTTTTTCCGTAAGAAGGAAGCAGAGCAACACAAGGGGACTGCTTCAGGCAAACGCCCCATGAGAAGCACCAAACCCCAGCACTGTGCTCCAACAACTGCACCGACGCACTGCATGCACACAGCTCAGCCCCACGGCAGCCAGCTGCCCACAGCCCCACTCGAGGGCACTTTGATGCATTTCTGACCCCTGCAGGTGCGTCCCAAAGCCGTGAGCTCTGCCAAAGCCTTGTGACCAGCTGTGAACTCAAACTGGCATCAAACTGGACGGAAGTTCAGCTTGTTCTCAGTACACTGACATTCATTATCCACATTTTACTTAACTGTAATGTTCTCGGGGGGCAATTAAAACATATAACTTCTTAGAGACGTCTCTGCAGATGCTGTTTGCTCTCCCTGCTGCAAACAGAACACCGGCGTTCCACCAAAGCATGGTGTGCTGCATCGGCTTCCTGAAGCCTGGCTGGCAGAGCTTGGAATGCAGCTCCTCACCCCAGCAAAGCACCGCCGCACTGCCTGTGTGCCACAGCCTTTGTGGATGTTCCAGGTGTGTGAAGAACACTGAACGAGTCACTACAAAATAACTGTCTGCCTCCTCAGCCATTTGCACACCCTGTGCTTATTTCTGCGAGTTGCAACTGTGTCAAATGGGCTCACCTGCAGATGTACACTATAACAAACTCTGTATGCTACAGCAGGATACGTCCTGAGAATTCCATTTTGCAGGGATTTAAGAACATGTAATGTCACGCACCGTGAGCCTGCTCAATTACACAAACATGGGTTAAATCACAGTTTTATCTTGCAGAATCTGAGCCACGCTCCTCCCTCCTGAAGGAACCAGCTCCCATCAGGAGCCAGAGCTTCATAACACGTTCCTAACTCCCCAGCTCTACAGACATCAGGGCATTTAATACCCAAATCAGACTCTTTGTATGCCTAATGCTACAAGCAATGAAAACTCTACAGTCCAAATTTACAGATGGACTTGTTTTCGCCTGAGGGAGAGCAAAACTCAATTATTTCTCCACAGCTCTACAACCATAAAGAGACAAATCTGGCTTGCCAAAGAAACACACAGAGAAAAACATTCACAGAATCACCAAGGTTGGAAAAGAAGTTTTCATAACAAGATGTTTTATTCTTGTAAATTATACCCAGGCATGAAGCTTACTTAACAGCAGATAGAAACCAAGTTCTGAATGTCTTTCAAGCCACACCACAGAGAAAGGATTTACACAGCTGAGCAGACCGGCACAGCGCCTGCAGAGGGCTGGAAGCTGAGTCCAGAGGGCAGAGATGCTTCTGTTCCCACCCAACCTCCTGAGCCACTCTCTCCTGCAGTGTGGCTGCTCCATGTGTGCCGTGCCCCAACCACACACTGCCCCACTCACTGACCATCCAACTCCCAGTGAAACTCTTCTGCTTTTTCTGCATTTGCAAACTCTCGCATGCATCCACAGGTGGAAGCTTTTATGGATTTTAAAGCTCAAGACATCTATCTGAAAGGCACAGATAGCTCAATACCCATTAGGGGTATGCGCTTCCAGGTCTTCCCAGGTGAAACATTTATCTGTCATTTCCACCGAGGAAACATAAAGCTAAGAAGCAGAGCCCGCATTCACGCCATTCGCACTTTGCTAAGTCACCGGGGGCTGCGTCCAACTCCCACCGCCTGAGAGCACTGGCACAGCCGAGCACCCTCAGCTCACTGCTCCGGATCGGGCTACGATATCACTTCGAACCACCAATCGACGCGGTAAGTCGCACCCGAGAGCCCTCACAAGAAAATGTAAAAGCACAGAAGGAGAAGAGCGCAACAACGCGGCGCGCCGCTCCCATAAGGCCCGGCCCCGCGGAGCTCAGCCCACCGCCGGCTGCGGGAAGGACCGCGGTCCCACGCCGCACCGGGTACCGGAGCTCGGCCGCGCCGCGCCCACCCCGCGCACGAGGCGGCGCGCCGCCCGCATCCCCGCGCCGCAAAGGCCGGGAGACCCGAGGGGGCGACCGGAGCCCCGAGAGCCGCGCCCACGCGGGACGCCCGCGGAGCCTTCCGCTCCCCCCGGGCCGCGCGATGCCGGCGGGCCCGGCCCCACGCGCTCCCCGCGGCTCGGGCCCCGCCGCCTCCCCCGAGCGCGGCTCGGCGCTCATCACCCCACGCACCGCCGCCCGGTCCGGCCCGGCCCGCCTCGCCGCTCACCTCAGGGTGCCGGGCGCAGCGGAGGCGCCGCGGGCCCCCGGCCTGGCGCAGGGCAGCGACGGTGCTGGGGGCGCGGCGCCACCCCCCCACCCCCGGTCCCGCCTGCGGCCCCGCCCCCCGCCTGCGGCCCCGCCCCCCGCCGCCGCGGTGGTGTGATGCGAGGGGTTACCTCGGGTCAACCACCTCTAACCCCTCCCCTCCCGCCGCCCGGCCGTCCACAGCTCCCATTGGCCGGCGGCGGGCGCGAAGCGGGGGGCGTGACCAATCGGGCGGCGCCCGCGGGGCGTGGCCAATGAGGAGATGCCGATGGCCTGAGCGGCGCGGCGCGGCGCGCCCATTGGCTGCCGGCGGAGGGGGGCTCCCCCTCTCGCGGTGCCTCGGACACGTGTCCCTTCCCGCGCCGCGCGATCCGGGGCGCCGCGGCCGGAGGCCCCGAAGATGCATTGAGTGCAGCGCAGCCCCGATGCGTCCTCACGCGTGGAAGCGGGAGTCTGCTGCGGGGCTCCGTGGCCCGGTCCCCGTCCGCCACTCAGGCACGGGTAGCCGGCCGAACCCCGCCTGAACCCTCCCTGCGCGCCCCCCGGCCGCGGCAGCACGCGGTGAAGAGGCGCCCTCTGACTGCCGCGCCCTGCCTAGCTCTCATGAGCGCCGCACCACCACTAATTGCTGCGCTCCGAGGTCCCGTTGTCGGGGCGGGCCGGGTAGCTGCGTGCACACCCGGAGACCCGGCTGCTGTGTGAGAAACCTTTCTACAAACTGGTGAGCTTCTGAAGCCCACCAAAGGACGGCGATGGCCCCAGCGTACGGTGCTGCGCCCAGCATGGCGGCACGGAGCAGTGCCTGCAGCACTGACAGCAGCTACACGCAGCCTTGCCTACCCCGGGTAACCACGGTGCTTGGCTCATCCCGGCTCTCGGAGCACGGTCATGCCATAACCTGCAACTGCTCTGCCCTGCCCACGTCATCCCTCAGCTAATAAATGCTAACCAAATATGCTGGAGGAGTGATTGCTACATGTCATTAAATCCTGTAGCAATTCTCTGGTTCAAGGGCAAAGAGAGAAACGAATGCAAGAAAATAGCAAGAAATACATCAACATGAAAAAGCAAGCACGGATTTGGGAAGTGCTGCTGGAATGCGGCAGGAATAGCAGCCCGCGGCCGCCCTCCCAGCAGCAGCTCATCCTCCTCTGACAGCCACGCGTGGCCTTTCCACAGACGGATCCCCACACACATCCCACACCAGGACAGCCGCCAGCAGCCCGCTGGCAGACATGCAGCACAGAGTACCTCCCCAGATATTAAATTATGCCACCTGGGCACAAGCAAATAAAAGCTTTGGACTTTCTATATCTCACAGCTGTTCCTTCCCACTGAAGCCAGTGGCAATTCACTGCTCTTCATTGTGAGAAGCACTGCTGGGAGACTTTTCACAAGAAATGCCATTTGGGAGGAACTGCAGTAACTGATTTAGGGGTAATACAGTGCAGGGTAAGGAGCACCCAGCAATAATGATTTGCCATGCTGAATCACAACCTGCTTTTAGGCCATTCAGTGAAATTTCTGGGACTTCTATAGCAGCAGAAATGCATTCTAGATTTCCTATAACTTTAGATTGAACTGGCTAAAAAGCGTTCAAGGCTTCAAATTGTGGACAGCAATAACATGAACACAGTGTTCCACAAATTTCAGACACTTTGCAACGGCAGAGAATTGTAACCACAGTTCAGGCCCTTGGGAGGAGGGGGTGTTGTCTAGACACACATCCTTTTCCCACTACGTTCAGACCTGGGACCCAGCACCTTACTTTGCATGGCTTATAAATGCATGCACTGTTCACATGTGGAATCCCTCCTCAAATTCTCAAAAAAGCAATCACACCCTTAATAATGCAAATAAACCATTTTCCAAAAAATTACAGGGAAAACGTTCTTACCTTCCATGAGGCCAAAGCAGGGTTCCATGGCTCTTCCCCAGGCTCTGATAACATCACCACGCACACACCAGAGGGATCATTCCAGGTGAGGGGGGTGCTGAGGCCATGCACGCTGGCACAGCTTGCTTCCTGGCAGGCGAGGAGCAGAGAAAAAGGTCAGATTTGCTTTTTAAAGCAAAATCATATTTTAGCTATTTGCAGAAGATTTTAAACATGGGAAACGAAACACGAACCCTCGCAGTGGCAGCAGCTGCGTGTTCTCAAGGGTAACCATAACCCTGCCTCTGGCTGGAAGCTGAGCTGCCGGCTCACTGGGGCCACAAGGTGTGCTGTCCTTGGCCCTAAGTTCTCTCACTGTTTCAGGAAGTGTCCTAAGATGTGTTGCAAATCTGCAGTTAGGCTTGTGCCAGAACTCCAGAAACAGCAGAAAGAATCACAGAGTGAAACCAAGTGCTGGGATGGGAACGCTTAGCAACAGCATTAGGCAGCCACATTAAAAATGAACATTTAGTTGCTTGAAATTATTTAAAATCTACTTCTCTTTTTAATACTTTTGAGTTTTTATTTACAAGGCTGAGAAACACTGGGTTCCTAGTGATTTCTATCTTGGGAACATCGCATAAAAATTAACAAGCATGGAAATATCACTTTAAAAGGGGATACAGACGTGAATTCTCTTATCCAAATCAAAAACCCTCCCCAGCAAACACCACGGATACTACAGACACATGCTCAGATGCACCGAGTGAGAACACACTCATTGACAAGATGATGAAATCCTCCTCTGCAAAGGATCCTGGCAGATCTCCCTGACATCTACGCACTACATTTCACAAGCAGAGAAGTGAGCGAACATTTCATTTTATTTGCATGAATACACTATTTCCAAAAGATGAATTCAACTGCTGATTAAACGGTGATTTGCAACTTCATATTCTTTACACTGTGCTCTAGGTGGGAGGGCTGGGGGCTGTAGCTCTCAGGAATATTCAGACTCTTGGTTTTTTTCTCACTGGACAATGGTGAATGACATTTATTCTATAGTCATCCTTTATGATGGGTGTAGTTTCAGCTTATGGTAACTGGATGTCACTTATGAATAAACTTGGCACCTCAGGAAAATATTTTGCAGTTTTCTCAAGTCTCTGGGCTATCAGTCACATGAAACACCACGGGTCAGTTCAGATTCAACAAAAACAGTCTACCTTTCCTCTTGTGATCGGGGACATAAACCTGTGTTATTCAGCACTTAAAAGCCAGAGACTTTGGAGAAAGAAATTATTTCCATCACCATCTTTTGCCTAATGTAGAAAATGCCAGTTGTCCAAAAGCAATCCACCCTGTGACTACAGCAATCCACCAGGACTCTTTGGTTACAGCTGCACTCTGGCCAGGCTTCCCCACCCATTCTGGCTGCAGGATTTGCTGGGCTTCGCTGCCCCATAAGCTGTGGGGTTTCACTCTCCAGGGCCAGCAGGCAAGCACAGGCTCCCACCCTTTCCTAAACATTTGCAGCCGTCAGCATCAACATCCAAAGTCACAAAGAGCCTGAGCTGGAGATGAGGGTTCTGTTGGCTTCTAGAACTGCTGAGCCCTTAGCAGCCAGCGTCTCCACGGCAGCCCAGTGCCCAGTGCCCCCTCCCAGCTCCACACACCAGCATCACCCCTCGCAGCGTGCAGCCCTGAGATCTGTGCTCAGGACCTCACCTGGGACGAACCGACTGAAAGGGAGCTGGACTGACAGAGAAGGCTTCCTTCGGGTCTATTTCTTACCAAAGTCCACATTTGCTGGACTGGCTCAGCACTAGAAATTCATACAACCTATCACGAATTAAGACATTCACTTTAAGCCCTGCATGAGTCAACCACTGTAAAGATACAGTTTTCACCAGGAATATATGATTACAGAGCTGTTCCAGGAGCTCTGCTTATCAGCACAGTATCTGCTTAAACACCTGTACTACAGCTCAGAGAAAGCAGTAAAGATAAAAACTGCTTCAAGACTGTGAAGAGCAGGCGCAGTTATGGTCACACTATTAATACTCAGCTTGGTGATAGTGCACAAGAGTCTTATCAGAGAAGGTAAGTTGCTCACATAACTGCAAGTTCTAACTGAATATTGACTATGTAGGAAATGTTAAAAAATATTCATTGCTAATGTTACATATTTTGTCACTTTACTGTGCTGAATTGAATCTCTACGCTCAACAAAGTCTCTAATGCACTGACGCTCCCCAGATTCTAGCACTTTTGCCATCAGCAAAACGTTGATGTTGAAAATTAGTTACCAAAAAGAGGGTAGTACTGACCTAAGTGCATCGCAGCTTGAAGGCACTCATCCCTCACTTTGCTCCCTGCAGACCTCAGGGACTACAGATGCCACGTGGGAAGCGCCTGGGCAGCCGGCCGCGTGCGAAACCTGGATGTCTTCCTGCAAGGTGAGAGCCCATGAGCAGGAGAGCTGTCACAGCTGCCAGGGGTACGGTGAGCCTTTTCTGTGGTCTCAGCTCTTCCCCAGCCACCTGGCCAAAAAGGATTACAGAGGTCATGCAGAATTCTAGCTCTGTATCACTAGAAACCAAAGAGACCGTACCAATAACCTTAGGTGGGTTAGTGTCACTTGTCTGCAATCATTATGTGCAACATCTGAATTTTTCAGCCAACTCTTGCAGCAAAGAAAGCAAAGTTACTGCAGGATTTACTGCAAAGCTGGACTGGATAGAGCTGCCCCACCTCATCACAGCAGGGTACCTGCACCCAGCTCCTGGCACCTGAGTGCTGGGGCCGAGGGCATCAGCTCCCACTCAGCACGAGACCACAGGGCAACAGGGACCCCAAACAGGAGGTCGGCCTCTGGCCACTGATCAGGGAGCTGCCCACAGCAGGCTAGGCTGCTGTAAGGTTAGCTGGCACCAAGGTTGTCCTTGGGAATTAACATTGCAACACTTGAGCATTGGGTTGTCCAACATACAGAATAACAACAGAAATAAGAACAGAGAACCTGCTTGAATTCTCCTCACTGTAACACTAACACCAAGCCGTCTGTGCAGATTCCCTACAGCAGCGCATCCCTCACAGCTAACTGCTGGCTCGAACCTCTCGTGGGAGGAACTTCATCCAAACTAAGAGAAACCTTTACTAACATTTACCTCTTATCTTTTTCCAGCCCCTGGGATAGCTGAAACCAGAGGGACACTAAGCAGAAACCATAAAGTCACATTTCTGAAATGCTTTAGTCATCAAAGCTCTGTGCAAGTAAATCTGCTGCAGCTGGAGAAGATGCACGGAGATCTGACAGAGTGGGCAGCAGAGGGCTGCACTGTGGAGAGCCTGCAGGTCGTCCCCAGCACAGCCAGGGGAACCAACCATACCTGTGTGTTACGGACATCCACGACAAGGCAGTTCCATAGAAGATTTATTTTCAGAAGCAAAGGTAAAAAGTTCAGTGTAACAAATGTCTGTTTAAGTATATGAAAGGATAGCAGTCTTCAATTTCATATAGTTATACGATAGTGGTTATTAAAAAAATTATTTGTACCTTCTCAAACAAAGAAATGGAAACTAAGGAGAGAGTAATGGAGCAGAGTTTACAGTACTGAAAGGTTCATGTTGGGAACAATTCCACGCTGCTGTTCTCCCTTCTTTTGGAAGAGACAGGAGATTCTGGCAAATACAGTTTCCAGTATTAACACAGAAGGAAAATTCTGCACACTGGGAAATGGCACATGGCAGAAAGCCCCGTGGCTCTGGTACTGCAAACTGCCAGTGCTGCATCACCTCCTGTCAGCTGCTTCAGGTTCTTCAGTTCAAACAAATCTCTAGCTTCACTATTTGTCATTTCCAGTCTTTCTGGCAGTGATTTCGAATCACACCGTAACAGCAGCACCACTCAAGCAGAACGTGTTTTCCAATGGCTCATCTACCCCACGCGTGCACCCAGAGCAGCAGACCTCCCCAGGTAGGTGCCAGCTCTCCCTGCTGAGCCACAAAAGCAGTGTAATGGTAGGTGTAAGGATGGGAGGGGGTGGTGCCTTTCACACACACAGCTCAGCCTGACTCCTCTCTAGCAGTAATTTCTCTGAATAACTACCCTGACCCAATATATCATCCCAGGTCCTGAGTCCACAGCTGTAATAAGAAATCAATATTTAAGTGCTGACTTTCATCCATGTTCAAGCAAGGGCTCCTAGCTTTCCTTAAAAACCTCACTGGCCTTCAGCAGGAAGTTCCACAGTGCTCTACAGCACTTACATACCAGCTGCTTCTGGGGAGCTCTCAGCAACTGAAAGATAACTGAAATATTTTCAAGTAAAAAGATTCTGAGATTCCAGAGAGATGTACAGCTTCCACTGACAGCCGATAGGAGACCCTGCACTGCTGTTCTGCTCAGCCCGATGTACTCAGCCCAGCCTCACCAAAATGAAGATATTGAATGGTCAAAGACTTGCATCACATCTCAAATATTCTTTTATCTCCTTTTAGAGAGAATTCCATCCACAAATGGCAAAGATTTGCTGATCAGACAAAATATAGGTATCATCATGAAAGCATTCATCGTTTGCATCCTGTTAGCTCCCATGATATGCTACATCATATGTTTCATACATGAAATAAGCCACTTGGTAAGTTTCTGAAGACAACAGCTTCTCACTCAGTCCCATGCGCTGCCTAGCTGAAATACTGCTACTGAGTTCTGAGGGAGGGAGAACTGTATTTACAGGTGTGGACAGAAGCTGCCTGCTCAGCCCAGTGGGACAAGAAAAACTCTCGCTGTGAGATGTACACGTGTGCTGAAGTCACTGTGCTGCGCTGTGTCCATCTCACAAACCCCTCCATGTGCTGGGACAGTGCTCCTCCTAGAGGAAACACTGCTCCTCCTTCCCAGCAGAGCAGAGTAGCACATTAGCAGCTACCGCTTATGGCTGGCATGTCTTTTTGCTTGTAACAAGCTACTACCCAAATCACAGCTGTCAGTGCGAGGCAATTCTGTAGAAAGCAGCCCAGAACAGCCTTGTGCTGCTGGCCAGGTGCCAGATGTCACCCCAGTGTCACAGGAAGAACAGATTAGGGGACAGAAGAGCATAGGTAAGACTTTGGAAGGAAGCTTACCCTCTCTTTCCAGGCTGTAGGATGAACTATTTTAGCATACTGGTGAGCACATACATGCAAGAAGGAGACACTGAGATCAAAACACTGGGGCTGCTATGCCAATTTACTTCTGTGAAGTCGCATTACTTCGATTCCCAAACATCCCCTAATACTCACCATGGCCTGACCACAGCCTTTTCCTAGCATTGAGAAGCTGATATTCCCCACCATCTCCTACTCTAACTGATTCTGCTTCTTTCCCAAGTGCTCGTGCCGTGACCGGATCGGCAGCAGATGGAGCAGAAGCAAATGCGTATCTGCAGCCTCCGTGCCAGCGGATCGCCAGGCAGGAACACTCTCAGCCCAGCTACCTGAGAACAGAAAGGAGAAGTCAGCACTATGTTTTGCCTGACTCTCAGAATCCCTTCCACAGGTATTACCAGCCAGTGCCACTCAAACTTTAAGCAAGGGTAGCAGGCCTCAGTGCAAGCAAATTTCAAAGTGAAAATGAGCTACTGTGTAGCAAGGAGATAGCCAAATCTGTGCCCAGGGAAGCTGGGTGGGCTCAGCCTTGCTGTCCTGCTGCAGCCATTGGGGAGGGAAGCCGGTGCTGTCAGCACTGAGAGGATGCATGGGACCAGCCTGCACTTCACAGTCAGCTCAGGTTGTGGGCATCTAGGCAACACTGACTGTGTTTGAAGACTTCCTTCCACTTAAAAAAAAAAAAACCACCAACCTAAATATCCCTGCAGCCCTGGAAATGAACTCTTAAGGTGCCTTTTCATGAAGAAATGATTTAATCTTATGCTTCCTACCCCATTAAGCAAATTACTGAGGTACAATTGCTATACTCTACTCCCTCCTCACAGTGAAGGAGTCTCTCACCTTCCCCCTCTGCTGCCTCCCGCTGAGGTTGGAGAGCTTAGTCCTGCTGGCAGGCAAGAAACTCTCCAGATACTGCACATACAGAACAAACTGCTCAAGAACACTTAACTTGCAGGAGTTATCAGTAAATAACGAGGGGAGAAATGAAAATCACTTCATTTGTTAAAACTTCTGAGTAGGAAAAGGCAGAAGGAGAGCACATTATTCATTACAAATTATCCACTTAGACCTTCCTGGAGTGTAACAATGCTGTGAGAAATGTGCTACAGTTGGGAGGTTAGGAAATTAAACTGGGACCCTTAAGAGCCATTTCCCACGAGCCATTGAACAGCCATCAGGTGGTAACACCTTTTGGCCTCTCCTAAACTGAAAACCATTCAAACAGAATTAGGGCAGAAGGCTTTTTATGTCACTGCTACCTTTAGTTCAGTTCAGCCAGGAGATGTCACTCCACTGATTACCGATTTGAAAAACAAAGCACGAGCACTGGTGGAGCTCGCTAGGAAGAGGGGTGCTTAGTATTCCTCATGATAGTTTTTCTTCCTTTGCCAGATCCTTACATGAGAAGATCCCAAATTGTTGTTATCCACAAAACCTACTTACGAAATGCAGGCTTTAGAGAAACACCCTTTCACCAACAAAAAATGCATCGTCTTCCTCCTCACCACTTACTGGAAAAAGCAGATTGAACATCAGCAGCTTAAATAACCACAGCTTCAACCGCTGCAGACTGAAACCAGACATGAGAAGCAACATCTACCTGGTTCGGAGCAATCACATCAATTCACTGCAAAATGAGCTGCTGGGAAGACACGCACATGCCAATTCCTTCCATTAACTACCTGGATTCATATTTTAATTCCCAGATACTAGAAAAACCTGTTGGCATAAGCAATAAATACTTCATTGACATTCCAAACTCTGCCTCCCTCAACTATTTATTTTTTTACGCACTCACTTAGAGCCTGGGAAGAAGGAAAAATAAATCAGTCCCAATGTTCCTTGGTCTTTGCAAACAGCTCAGAGCAGTGAACTCATCCGACAGCAGCACCTCCTCCTCCCCAGCCTTGCAGCAGCAATGTGGATATTCACTGCCCGGCTTTAGCCTGAGGCGCTGCGCGTTTCATACAGCGCTCATACAGGCTGAATCTCTGCTTTATTCCCCATTTCAATCTCACGCCATCTTCACCTCCCAGATACGAACTGCCAAAGGCTGCATCCGCCTGCCAGAGAACAGCTCTCATCTCCGCTTCCCACGCAAGGGATTAAACGCTTCAGAACCCGTATGGCTGAACGGGAGCAACCTGCGGCCTCACAGCGCGTTCCTCCAGCAGCGCCGCCATCAGAACCACCGCCACGCGGCTGTGAGGGGACAGCCCGCCGAGCTGCACCCAAAATGGACGGCGGCAGCAGCCGGCCGCTGCACGGGGCCGAGGTGACAAGGGACCGGCGCCCAGAGGGCTGCAGGCAGAGCCTCGGCTGCGGGAGCAGCGCCGAGGGACGCGCAATCAAACTCGTAACGCGTCCTCGAGCGCCGGTGCCCGGCAGGCAGAGCGACCTGCGGCATCGCCCCGAGCTCCGGGCTGCAGGGAGGCCGGGCGGGCCCCCGTGCACCCCCCAGGCCGCGCTCGGCCCTTGCAGTCGCGCGGCCGCGTGCCCTCAGGCAGAGCGGGCCTCGAACCCGCGGCCCGGCGGCGCCCCGCCGCCTCAGGAACGCAAAACGGGAACCCGACATCGGGGCTCCGCACCCCCCTCCGGGCGCGCGCACTGCCCGCAGCCGAAGGGCGGGGCGGGACGGCACGAGGCCGCGCACGCACAGCGCCTCGGCGCACGCGCACGGCCGTTACGCGGCCGCGCGAGGCCGTGACGCGCGGGAACTGCCCCGGCGCGAGGTGAGAGGCGGCGGGGCGCGGCCCGGCAGCGGCCAGGGGGAAGTCGGGAGCGTACCACGGCGGGGAGGAGTCGGATCCGGGGCGGGGGAGATGGACAGTGCGGCGGACAGGAAAAGGGAGCGGGCGGGTGGCGGCGCGCTCCCGCCGCTCACCTCGCGGCCTCGCGAGGGGGCGGGGCTTCGGGAGGGGGCGGGGGCTCGGGAGGGGGCGGGGAGGGCGCCGCCTTGCGGTGAGGGGAGGACGGTCCTCCAGCTGTGGCCCCGTGTGGGACCCCACTGAGCGCCGCCCGTCGGACTCAATAGGAAAGCGCCCGAATCTGCCCGACGCAAACACGGCCCCAAGGTTCCCGGTGCCGCCATCGCTTTTGTCACTGTCTACTGGGGCCCTAGGAGTGTGTCCCCATCACTTCGCACCTCTCTCAGAATCACACAATCATTCAGTTCCAAAAGACCTCCAAGGTCCCCCACCCATCCCTCTGTGCCCTCTGACCGCATCCCTCAGCTCCACATCCCTGCACGGATCTGGAACACCTGGCGGGTCGGTGACCCCCAGCTCCCTGTGCCAACACCTGGCTGCTCCTTTAAAGAAACGATTCCTCAGACCCAACCGGACCTTTCCGGCACCACGAGAGGCTGACCCCACCTCTGTCCCTGTGACAGGCTGCTCACAGCTGCTGTCTGCTCAGAATGCTGTGAGGATTTCAGCCCAGAACACGGCTTTGGACGCAGTGCGTTTGAGGCAGCACGAGTTTCAGGGAGCAGCGCAGGATGGAGCGCCTGGCCTCCTTCGGCAGTGAGTACCGCAGGGCTGGGAGGTGTTTGAGCTGGGGAGGGAGACAGCAGCAGAGACGTCTGATCCCTCAAACCCTCAGCTGCATGAGGACAGCAGTGATTGCTGGCAGTTCAGACCTTGCTTCTGTCCTCTTTTTACTACTTAAATTGCAGTTTAGAAAAAATAATGGCTTAAGACAGTATTTTGACTGTTTTGCAGTGAACTCGCAGAGCAGTGTCTCACTCCTCATTCAGCAGCTCGGGGTTTGGACAGGTTACAGAACAATCAGGCCAATGCCTTTGCAACCACAGCAATGTGCTTTTTGAGTCAGACGAGGAGGACGGATGGGAGAGTGCTGCTGTCTGTGCAATATTCTCCATAAAGCCTTGGGTCTCTGGGCACTGAGTCAAGTCAGCCAGCTCACAAAGCTGCCACCCCTGTTGAGCAGCACCAGACGGCTGCTGCAGAGCTGTTCCTTGACTCCAGCATGATCACACAACTTGCCCTCTGTACCAGGTCCATAGCAAAGCTTAAATGCCAATAGCTGTCTTAATATTCCAGCTCAGGAAGGAACTTGTATCAATAGAATAGAAGTTGCATACAGCTGAGTTCATTTTAAATTGCTGGACACCCAAAGTGAATTTGGGTGATCGCAAAAGCAGCGCCACGTTTGTTTTGCATGAGATTTACTTCTGGCTTTGCAGATGACCCCTTCGATAAACCTCCATGCAGAGGTTGCTCTTCGTACCTCACCGAGCCCTACGTGAAGTGTGCAGAGTGTGGGCCTCCTCCCTTCCTCCTGTGCTTGCAGGTGAGTGCAAGGATGAAAGCAAAGACATTCATTTGTCTGAGAAAGTCATCAAAGGCCGTCCGGTGCCAGGCTGCTCCATAAACACATTAATAACGGGTCTCTGCAAACTCATATCAACACACTTATTTGCTCAGGGACAGGGAAATGGCAAAGAAAATGTGGGAGGCTGAAGAACTGAGACACGAGCAGCTGAATGAGACCTGGGTGAAGGCAGCCAGAGCTTGCTAAAGACATGCAGTCGGCCTGACTGTAACACAGCATGCCCCTGCACGTCTGGAGAGGCATTGTTTCTGTCACTTTTATGGCACAGAAAAGAAAATCTATCAAGAAACACCCTCTCCCTGTCCTCACACCTTTTTTTCCTTTTTTTTTTTTTTTTACCTCCCATATGGCAAAGAAAATCAGCAGGAAATTTGCAATATAGACAATAATTCTGACCGGATTAAAGTTATTTACAAATTGTGTATGTGATCAGATTACTGCAGAAAGGATCGTTAGTTTTAATTATTTATGACTAAAAAACAGCAATGACTTCTAATACTGAAAAGGGAGCTTTCTCAAAGCTCCAAAAGGAAACCACTCTTTCAATACTTGCAGAATGCTCAGAATTCCAGGAATGACACATAACATGGCACCAAGCTTCTTTCACCTGCCTAACTTGGCTATAAATACCTAACAGAAAGCGTGGAGGTGCACACGAGTTACATCTTAGTGTAAAAGACCAGAATACTGCACAGCTTCAAAGTTATAACACAAATTGTTATAACTGCTGTTACACATTTTTTCTAAAATGAAATCAGAAAAAATAAATATGATTTTCAGCATATCAGGTGGTCAGTTTTTATCAAGGTGGGTAAGCGATGGTCAGAGAATGAAGGGAAAAAAGAAGCCAGTCACAATGTTTTCAGTGCAGAAGAGAGTAACGTAATGCTCCTCTTTTGCTCTGCAGTGTTTCACACGAGGATTTGAATACAAGAAACACCAAAGTGATCACACTTACGAGATAATGGTAAATATTCCTTTTGGGTTACACCTACTCAATCCCGAGCTCTCATATTTCCCAGACCTTGCTTAATAACAGCACATAAAACAGTAACTGGCACAGTTCTTGGATTCATAAGTTTAGACCATTAAATAAACGAAAAACTCTTCCTTGTGAGGAAAGAAAAATGTCCATCCACATAATGGAATAGTGGAGATGCTTCTGTTACATTTTTCCTTCTGCCTGGATAGCACAGTGCATCTCCTAGACTTTCCAATTCTTTAACCATGTCAATTAATTTCAGTTTCTCAGTTGTTGTCCTCCCCAGAAATGAATTGCTTAAAAAGTTTTTGGCAATTGTTACAGTTTTGTGGCATAACGTTAAATTACAAGTGGCTGAGAGCACGTGTGGCAGCATACTGAGATCTGTAGTGACAAACTACAGATTTACTGCAACTGGTATTTACTGCAACTGATGGACCAGTGACTTCAGTAATCTGACAATTATCAGGATTCATGACACAGTAGAACTGAAACACAGCCAGTACTTTGTGCTGCGTCGCCCTGTAGCCTGCAGCCTCTTCTTTTCTTCGTATGGTGGATTATAACTGAGAATCACAGCAGTTTGATCTGCTGCTTTTTTTTTTCCTTCAGACTTCAGATTTCCCTGTCTTGGATCCTAACTGGACAGCTCAAGAGGAAATGGCACTGCTGGAGGCTGTGATGGACTGCGGATTTGGAAACTGGTGAGCATGTGGGGGCTCAGCCCCCGTCAGTGAACGATGGGGAGATCTCTTGTTTCACTGGATCTTACTGTTGAATGCATCAGTGCACAGTGAATGCTCTGAGTCATCGTGGGTGAGATACCAATTTAGCAGCTAAAGCAGAACATGGATTCTGTTTTCATCTCTCCTATCACACACACAATTGGTAGGGGCCTCTCGTGTGTTTAATGGCACCTCTAGTGAAGGACAGAGCTCCCTCGTGTCACACTGAAGCCACCAGGTTTGGAAGAAACTCAACTATTGCATGACATTTTCTTTACCTCAGTTTACTCCTATGTAAAAATCAACTGCAGAGTTTCTCTCATGTGGTTTCTGCTTGCTTACAGTGGCCCATCCAGGAGTTGTTACTGGTTTCCTGCTTCTGTGTCATGTTTAGAATAGAGCATTGGAAATATTTAATATTTTCCTGTGTTCTGTTAATTTCTGTAGTTGCTACAGGATTTTTATGCATCTGTAAATAAAGGAGATCTGTGGTGATGTTATCTCTCTTCTCCATGAAAAGATTGCTATGATAAAAAGCACAGAATGCCAAACTACACAGAAAGAGAGCTGTGTGCCCTTATGTAAACCTTACTGTTAACTAAGACTGAAAGCTGGTTGCAGTTGTACCTGCAAGTATTCTGCCTAGTGCACCTTGCCCTCAGCAACACAAGTAATCTTAA